AAAAAAAAAAAAAAAAAAAAAAAAAGCAGAGCCAGCTTTCCCCAGAGCTGCTGAGCCTTGATTCCCAGATGAGGTTGATGCTGGACTGCATCTTAAGGACCATAAGATGATTCATTTTAGTTGTTTCAAGCCACTACAGATGGGACATCTTTGAACAGCAATGTGAGGAGGTGAAGGCCTGGCTGTGAGCAGATGCTGTCCTCTCGCTGGTGAAAAGAACAGGTGGCTCAACTGAGGCATCCAGTGTGACAGTCCAAGGGTGACCTTGGTAACCCCCAGGTGTTGGAAGCAGACCTCATAGTTGTGGAGGGTAGTGAGGCCCCCATAGAGCACAGCATGCAGGGTGTGTATGTGTGTGTGTGTGTGTGTGTGTACATGTGTGCGTGCATATGTTATGTGTGCATATGTGAGTATGCATGAGTGTTCACATATCAGGGTGCGTGTGTAAGAAAGAGTGTGCAAGGTGTACGATGCACGCGGGTGTGAATGCATGCATGTGAACGTGCAGGTGTGTGCATGTGTGAATATGAACATGCATGCAATGCGTGTGCATGTGGGCCCTCCAGTCCTCACTGTGCTGGTACAGTGGTTCCTGGGCTTGGGTGGTCTCCAAGGCCTGGAGTAGAGACTGCAGGGCACAAGGGACCACAGCACATGTCACAGGATGACAGAGGAGTGACAGGAGGAGCGCATGCCATGAGTGTGTCTGGGCTGAAGAAGGCTGTCCCAATAATACTGCTGTGGCTTAGCCGAGAGATGTCCCATCAAGGTCTCACACTGTGGTGGCAGTGGGGAACTGGTCGGACTGGGCTTTCTGGGTGTGGGGCTGGAGGAGTGTCTTCTTGTTCCGGCTCTTCCCGCCTCTGCTTCCTGTGTGCACCTAGCTTCTTATTCCCTTTTGCATGTGGCAGTCACTGTAGCGGGAAGGACAGGTCCTTATTGGTGCCCTGGTAGAGGTATAGGTGCTCTGGCCTGCCGTACACATGAATGGGACTTTCTCTGGTGATGGGGTCTTTAAGCTGGGTCATTGGTGTGAGCCTAATCCAGTCTGACTGGTCTAATGAGGAGACAGATACCATGGCAGACACACAGATGACAGAGGATGTGAAGACAGAAGAGGACAGGAGACAAAGGCAGCAGAGGTCAGTGACAAGGACACGGGCTGAGGAAGGATCTTCTCCAGGGTCTCAGAGACAGCACAGCCCGACCAGCACCTTGACTCAGACTTCTGTGTCCAGAACCATGGAAGAATATGCAGGTGTGCATATTCTGTTGCTTCGCCCCCCTCCTCAGTTACAACAGTCACAGGAAGCCAAGGTAGGTCTCTTGGGTGGGGCTTCGTGTGGGTGTTGGGCACAGAGTCCCTGCAAGATAGGACAGGGGCCCTGGAGCCGCCCTTACCAGAACACTCCAGGCTGGTGTGGAGCTGAGCGAGGCCAGCCAGGCCTGCGCTTCTGCCTGCAGGTCCTGCCAGGGGACGTATCCGCCCACATTGTGGGTTAGATCCACTGGGTCCAGGATGACGGGCCTGTGAGTCCACCAGATTAAAGCTCAGCAGAGCTGCTTGCAGAAGAGATTAGTTCTGGGGAAAGGGTCTCGAATGATACCTGGCCCTGGATTTTGATTTCTACAGGCACTTTTCGCTGCTGGGGTGCTCCGTATTAGATCTCGACCCCTCAGGGCTGGCTCTACCTTCTGCTTTTCAGAAGTCAAGCATTGAACTGCAGACTAACAATTGTAATCCCAGCACTCTGGGAGGCTGAGGCAAGAGGATAAGAAGTTTGAGCACAGCCTGGGAAACTTAATGACTTAGCAAGACACTGTCTCCAAAACATTTAAAAAAAAAAAAATCTGGGGTTGATGCCTAGTATGAAGGCTCTGGGTTCAATCAACAACACCCCACCCCCCAAAGAAAAGAAAAAGAGAGAGATGCCCTGGGCCATTAACACAATCCCAGGGGAGTCTTCTCTTCCTGCTGGTGCCCTCTTCTAGCCCCTTCCTTTTAGAAGAGGAGCACTTCTGCAGTGTCTCCTCCCACGTCCAGGACCACACAGGACTGTGTACCAATAAGTGTGACCTGACTTGGAGATGAGGTCTTTGTGAGTGTGAGGTCTCGCAGGTTGCAAAATGAAAAGCGTCGTCCTGGCCTCCTGACCCCCACGCGTCATGTGCCTAGTCAAGTTACTGGCTCCCTGGTGGGTGGCTGTGGGCAGAGGCCTCATTCTCAGAGTACACCCCACCTGTGGTGTAGCACCCAGGCAGGGTGGTGGGAAATGGGGTACCTCTTGGACCCAAGCTGGCGCAGGAGTCTGTTCCTGACAGTCGCATCCTCCAGGTTGTAGTTGACCGTCCAATAGACACACAGCTGCTCTGGACGCCGGATCAGCCCCAGGATGGCCCTGACACCTTCTGCAATGTTGAAGTCCTCAGCCCTGCAGCCCTGCTCCCAGGCGTACACAGCCAGCAGCTCCAGAGCATAGGTGGACAGTGGCTCATGGGACGGCCCTTCCTTGGGACACTGTGAGGAAGACAAGAGGGCCGTTGACTTGGAGACCCAGATTGTACTATATCAGGGGACTGTAATGAGGAAACTGGAAGTCTCTAAGAAGTTACTGTGGATCTCTAAAATTCTAAGGATTGAGGACACCACAGGGATACAGAACAACTGAAACTCTCTTGTTACTCATGGGAGCGCAGCTTGGGACAGACACCAGGGCAATGGCTAGCAGTGTGTACTCGGGCCCAGAAGTGTTTCAGTTACTTTTCTCATTACTGGGACAAAATTCTGAACACCCACCAGTTAAAGGAGGAAAGGTTTCACTGGCTCACGGTGTGTAGCGGTTTCAGTCCATAGTCTGCTGGCTCCAAGGCAGGGTGGCTTGGCAGAGGACATCGTGGAGAAGAGTTCATGGCACCCACAGGTAGCGGGAGCAGCAAGGGACCTTAAGAGTGTCTTCCTGCCCCTTATAACGTATCCAGGCTACTGGGATTAGGGCATTGCCAGACCCATCAGTGGAAGGATTTAGTAACCACCCTCCCTCAATCCTTGCACTGTGGCATGACTCAGTCACACACTCTAGATCCAACCTGTGGGAAGCCATGAACTGGTATCCATTTTTTAATAGGGTCAGCCATTTTCTTAAGTTTCTGGTCCTTCCCGCCTTGTCCATTCCCCGTAATATGCCCCGGGGCTGGGACCTTCCTCCGTTGCTTAGATACCTATTGATGTCAAGAACCAAAACTTCCTCATTCTTACACTCCCTTTATATACTCAGTACCTCCCCTAAATAAACGAGACTTGATCAAAATCCTGTCTTGTCTCCATTTCTCACGTCTCCTGTCCTTTGTCCCCTCCCCAATTCCCCGCTCCTCTCCCAGGTGACCTTTGTTGACTGACCCGCTGGTTCGGGACACCAACCACGTCTGAAAAAGCCAGTCTATGACTGCACAAGGCTTTGGGGGACACAAAGACACAAGCTATAACAATTACATTAAATGAAATGTAAGGGACACAAGCTTCAGTGTGGTATGGATTCTCTCATGGGAAAAACCAAAATATAAATAAAGAACAAAATAAAAGATTAATTTTTTGTAAAAGGTAAGGGATCGGGGCCGGGGAGATGGCTCAGTGGAATAAGCACTTGCCTGGCAAGCTCAAGAACCTGAGTTCAATCCCCAGTTCCGCAAAAAAAAAAAAAAAAAAAAAAAAAAAGTAAGGGATCCAAGAGATGGAGGGAGGGAAAAGGAAAGGAGAGAGGGAGAAGGGATGGAAAAGAATTAATATGTGTTACCTACAAGCACCAACTCTGCACAATGAGTGTAAGCATTGTGGATTGCAAACATCTACCAGCGAAAATAAAGTAAAAATTGATACAATGTGATAAAATCCTACACAAACCTATGATGAAAAATGAAAACCAGTAAAAACATTGCTTAATTAAACTTTTGTTGATTAAAATGATTAAATATATAATATACATGTTTTTCATGGATCCACATATGTATACATACATGCACACATATGTTGTGTGCACATGCACTATAGTTTGTGTCTAGATGGTATTTTGCCTCAGCAATGAGAAAAGTAAGTAACACACTATGTAACATACATGTACACGTGCACCTTAGAGCCCAGAAATTTCACCCCTGCTCATTTGCCCAAGAGCGATGCAAGCTTAGACTCAGGAAGGACACCCTGGAAAATATTCATGGTAACCTAGTTCATAACAGCTTCAATTTGGAAAGGACCCGAAGTCCATGAGCGATAGGAAAGATAAATGTGCGGTGCGTGGTGGTGCACGCCTGCAATCCCAGCTCTCAGGAGGCTGAGGCAGGAGGATCTGCAAGTTGGAGGACAGTCTGAGCTACAAAGTGAGCTCAAGGCCAGCCTAAACTTCATATTGAAACTTTGTCTCAAAAAGACAAAAAAGAAAAGAAGCGTGTAGTGCCTTAACACAACGCAATATAAAACATGACAAACGAGTGCTACATGAAGTAACGTAGCTGAGTCTCACAGACAAGCCTGAGCAAAGGGGACAACGTAGGTAAGGTAAGGTTCTAACAAGAGTTTACTCCTAGGGAAGATGGACACGGGGTGGAGCTCAGCGGAGGAATGCTGCCAAATAAAGCTAACTGGTGGTGGCTGACGCTGGAATGGGAGTTGGGGGATTACCAACTGAGGACAAGCTGAAAGTGGCCTCTTGGGGTGCAGGCAATGCTCCCCGTTTCGATGTGTGTATTATATTTAAGATTGTTGAGCTTTCCCGGTATGTTACATCAAAGAAGTGAACGGCAGTGGGATGCACGATTTGAACATCACCTGTCTATACCAGCGCTTCATCAGGAGGATCAGGTCCTTCACTTTAGGGGGATACTTCTTAAAGAACTTCTCCTGGAGTTGAGCGAAGCAGACAGAGAACTTGCCCGGCGCGGCTTTGGTCTCATCCATGGATCTGATGAGTTCTCGATACAGCCAGGGCGTGGGGTTTGCGCTTAAACCTGCCCGAGAGGAGACAAGGGGATCCCGGTATTTAGGGGCTCTGGGAAAGTCAGGGCGGGTCAACGAGGAAGGTTATGGCTCGCCCGGTAGCTCACGTCCACTGCTTAACCTGTGGAAGGCTGCTGCGCTGCAGGGGGCGGCCCCTGGCAGTAATAAAGTGTAGTTCAAAATAGCCAGCGCCGGCCTGGCACGATGGCACACCTGCGACCCCCGAGGGCTCAGGAGGCTGAAACAGGAGGCTCACATGCTCAAGGCCAGCCTGGGCAACCAGGTGAGACCCTGTCTTTTAACAATTTTGAGATTTTTAAAAATTTTTTATTTTTGGTAGACCCGGGGATTGAACTCAGGCCCTTGCGCCTGCCAGGCAAGCGCTTATTCCACTGAGCCATCTCCCTGGCCCCTTGAGATTTAAAAAAAAAATTATTTATTTTA